GATGCTCGCGGGGGACGTGGCGAGGGCCCGGGATGGGGACACGCGGCGGCGAGGGCCCTGGGGTACTGCGGGGAGGCATCCCCTGGTCCTGCATCGGCCACTCGGGAAAGCCACCGAGGGTTGGGGACAGGAGCTCAGAACCCTGGTTGTGGAGGCTGGAACTGCTACCTGAGGGCAGGGGGCTGTAAGCCAAGGGAACAGCTCTACTGCGGTGCTGGGACTCTTCCCTGGGGGTCTTGGTGAATGCTAGTGAAGGACCTAGTAACATGCCCTTTGGGCCTGCCATGGGGTGCAGAGGATAAATATGGGGTAAACCTGGGGGGAGGGTTAAAAACAGGACATTGGCAATGCAGATAGAAGAGTGGGAAGGGAATTGGGTGTTTTGGTCTGAGTGGTAGAAAACAATTTTTTGAAATTTCTGAAAGCACACAGAAGTGGCTTTAACTATTCTGCTGTCAGTGGATGCTTTATGGTTTGCTTTGTATGTGTTGGACCCTGGCAAGAATATTCTAGTCCTGCCATAAGCAGTGATATTAAAATCTAGGGGGAAGGATGTGAGCACACTTCCAGTTTTGTTTCATTACTAACACTCAGAATAATCTTTTTGATGAGGAGTGTTACACGAGTTCTCACATGAATGAGAAAACTAACAAGCCAACTTATATTAATGTATGGAATTTTCAGGGTAAAAAGTAGCATGCAGATTTAATGATATAAGTAAAAGCAATGGATTTAGAGTGTGAAACTCTTTCATACTAATCTTCCTTTATCTCTGTCAGAAGCTTAATACTTTGAATTAAGTACTTTGGTTGCTTTTGAAAAGAAACATGCATTCAAAAATCCACACAATGTAGATTTTCAAAAATTACATCAAATGTATTAGCCTAAGAGAATTAGTTAAACAGTGTGCTAAATGTCCTTACAGGTATCTGTCTGAACCAATTTTTGGATACTCTCCAATTTAACGCCAAATTTTAATTTCATTTAACCCCAGAGTTAGAACCTGTACAGTCTCCAGTTGTATCTTATTGGAATCTTGTTTGCTCCATAGGTTTGAACTGAATTTTACTGTGATATTCAAAAGGGTTTACTGCTATGTAAAGGAGATTTAAATGGTCAATGGTGTAGGATTTGAGACACAAATACATTTGCAAATACATTTGCCTGTTGGGTATCGATGGTGAAGCCCCTTAAAGAGAAGTCACAGGCTTGTCACGTGCTTCTTAAATGTGATCATCTTCCTGTTCTCTCTTGTAGACTGAGCTGCTGAAACTCCATTTTCAAGATGAAGTTTTCGTTGGCAATCTCCTTTTTTATTTTCATGTCCTTGTGGGTTGAAGAAGCTTGTTCTAAAGAAAAATCTTCCAAGAAAGGGAAGGGGAAAAAGAAGCAGTATCTGTGCCCATCGTACGTTCTTCACGTCTTCGTCTTATATCCTTGTGCAGAGCCAGGCTGCTGCTTTTGTTAGAAAGCCAGACTGGCTACTAAAATGCCCATCCATGGCTCTTTTCACATCCCCTCATGCAGCGTTGTGTCCTGCTAACAAAAAGACAGAGTAGACAGAGGTTTGGAATGTGAGGGTGGTCTCTTCCTGGTGGGAAAGGAGGCTTTGTTCATATACCTTTACATACCATTTACAAAAGCGAAACGAGTTATGATAGCTTTCTGAGGCCAGATATGAAACTTTAATTGCATGAGAAGAGTCCATGTTTTGAGAAAACACTAGTTCAAAAAGTAGATTTAAAAATAGTCTGAAATGAAAACTCATTAAGCACCAGATAAACTATGATCTTGAGGTCTGTTACATTTGTATTGGTATACTACAATGGCAGTGAATTTTCATGGTAGATAATACTACTTTTTCAATATTTTGTTTATAAAAGACTTACGGAAGGAATTTGGTATATCCCTCCAAAAGTGTGTGATAAAATATAGAATTACTTGCAGAAACAAAATCCAACTACACTCTCTCCAAAGCCAAGATTTATCAGATTAGGATCTTTTCTGGGAAGGGTTAATATTACTGGTCAATAAAATATGAAAATATCCAACAGGTAAACACTATATAATGATTTCTATATATTATAATGTGTTTCTAGGTAATAATACAACACATGTGATTATTTTGCTATTATAGGCCATTTTTCAGTTGATTGTTGAGATGTCATGTTGACCACATACAACATTTTATTTAAGCATCATGACTTGCATGTGAACCATTGCAGTTTTATAGATGTCTATAAGAAACACAAATTGTCTTTTAGGAAGAAAAAATTGTAAATCAAGGACTTTAGACTTGATATATTGCAGCTGATACTTGAATAGATATGAAAGACTAAAAGTCTGAAGTCAGTGTCATGGAGAAAACGTCTAACATTAAGTCAGTTTCATGTCATGTCAAGAGGCATCTCCTAATTTTACCATTGACATATTTAACAATTTTATGTCAGGGTCAAATTATGGAGTGTCCTATAGGGTGACCTTGAATTGTATGTGTGCTTCTCCTTAGCCTGTGTAACTTGGGTATCTGCTGAATGATGAGGTGGCAGGCTTAGGCGGACATCAAGGATTCCTCAGAGTTATGATTTTTGTATCTTAATCAGAAAATTAGCCTTGGAAGGAGCTAAATGATGTTGGGACTTCTTGTCATTTGAAAGACAAATTTCCAAGTTCTAAATATTTATTATTGATACAAGCTGGTATATGCCTGTAGTCATGGTGGCGATATGTGATAGGGGTGGGAGGTCAGGCTATCATGGACCATTCATTTTTTTTTTCCTGAGGAAGTGATGTGCTTTAGGTACCTACCACCCCACCAAGACCCTGCCATATTTCCTGTATCAAAAGTCAAACTGTTTAAAAGTTCACAACAGTAAGTCTTGTTGCCACCATTTACCTTCACTAGTATTTAGAGCACCCATGTTCTTTTTTTTTACACAACTACAATATTAAATTGCCCAACATATATAAATAGTCAATATGTGTGGTATCTATAGTTATTTAGACAGATTGTTTTAGTAAGGTAAGACAGTATAGTTTCTCTTGAAGAATGTGAAAATTATCAGGCTTCCGAAGGTGCTGTCTATGCCTGTTGAACGCTTGTCACAATACTTCATGTATGAGCGGAAAGTTGATCTTTGTTAGTTTCTACCATAGCCTTAAATTTATTTTATTTTTATAATTTTGAGATTCAGTAAAGCTTTACTGATGGTTGCAGTAATCCCGTGAAACATCTAGCTCATCAGTGTGTGAGTAGGGCAGAGATGATGACTTAGCAAGTAAAGGTGTATCCATGAGGACCTGAATTTGATCTCTGAAACCCATGTGGTGGAAAGAGAGAACCAATTTCCAAAGGTGTACCTTGACACCCACATGCATGCTTGGACACATGCAAACACACATGGTCATTAAAATAAATAAATAAATAAATAAATAAATAAATAAATAAATAAATAAATAAGTTACAAGTAAATATGCTCTGGTGAATTACAGTTGTATATTTTTGGGGTTGGATATTTTTCTTATAAATATCTCCTGGAAAAGGTATACAATTCTATAATTCCAGCAGTTGACAGGAGGGTTGGTAGTTCAAAGCCATCCTGTTTTACACAATAAGACCTAGTTTATAAAACAAAATGAAAGTAAAATAAATAGAAAATCTGACTTACAAGAGCTTAAGAAATTCAAAAGTCATTTCTCTAGCTAGAATTTGGTTCACTATATAAAAGTTTTCTAAAAACTACTACAGCGCGGGGCATTGGTGGCGCACGCCTTTAATCCCAGCACTTGGGAGGCAGAGGCAGGCAGATCTCTGTGAGTTGGAAGCCAGCCTGGTCTCCGGCGCGAGTGCCAGGATAGGCTCCAAAGCTACACAGAGAAACCCTGTTTTGAAAAACCAACCAACCAAACAAACAAACAAATAAACAAAAAACTACTACAGCTAGAATCTCATCCGTAGTAATGCACTGTTAAATATTTCTGTTTTTCCCACTAAGAATCCCATTAGGATAATAAACATTTTAAAATACAGTAGAGGTGCTAGAGAGATGTCTCAATGTGATTTTTCTCTTCTGCCTGTGAGATTTTACCTAAACCCAATGAATAGCTGAAGTTACTCACTGTTACTTTTCAGGTCTTTATTTCTAGTTCAGAGCTGTGTATACCCTCTACATCATGTTACAAAGCTCAGCTCAACAGGCTAAAACTTGCACTTAGAAATCCTCCACACCACCACTCCTAATACAGTGTCCCTTTGCCAGCAAATGACTTCAACATCTCCTTTTCCAACCTAGGATCACTCTTGACCTACTGTTTTTTGTCTTAGCTTCTCAAATCTGGCAGTCATGAAGACTCAGCAGCTCCTCTTTGCCACATATGGAGAATCTTCACTTTCACTCCTTTTCAGACATTGAGTTATATTCCCTACAATCTGTAATATTGCTTGTTTCAATCTTTCTACTTTTCTACTTCTTATTTCTTTTTCTTCTCCAGATCATAGGTCTAATTAGGTCATTCCAATATTGAGAAGCTTTGCAGGAACTCCATGGCTTTCTGGATATGGCTGATATTTCTTGTCTCTACACAGAAGACTATTGATTGCTAGAGTCTGATATCTTCCTCTCCTGAGGTCTGATCTCAGTCTCTGGACCAAATAGTGCACATGAGTCACCTGTCATTCATGCATTCTTTCCCATCACTACCAGTGATGTTCTCAATAGTTAAAGCACCAGTGCTCTCCCTGTGTTAGTTAACTTCAACCTTGATGTGGTTGCTCTAGATTCGTGGCAGTAACAGTCACTTATTCGCTATTGATCCTCAGTCTGTCTGTCTAGACTTTTACAAATACTACTGCATGTATTCTTTTCAGTTGGCATTTTAAACTGACAGTTCCATAATGACATCAAACTCAACCCAAACTTAAAACTGTAACCTCTATAGAGAAGTGTGTGTTTGTGTGCACATGGATGATACTGTGAATCAAGCTAACGGCCTCATGTCTGCTTGGCTGACACTATGCTCTTGAGAGGCATCCCACTCTCTTTCCTCATTTTGACAATCACCTTCTCCATCTCCACAGCCCTCTACTTGACTCCCATGTCCATAATTCTTCCTGAAGCTTATCAGTTGTATCTATATGCTTCTTCAGGTCTTTGTAAACTTAGGAGAGAACAATGCCTTACTTGCCTCATCAAAAGAGAACAACAGAATGCCTGGTGCAAAATATAGGTAAAGTGAAAATTTCTTCAGTAAGTGCAGGGAAACCCAAATACCTTAGTCTGCTTCTTACTGGCTCTGTTATGACTGGATTTTGCATCACTTGATGTGTTCTCAACATATGGACAACTACATGTATGCACAATTATGTTGATAAGTGGAATGTTTTCACCCTTGGTTATGTTTGAATATGGTGGAATTTTGACTTCATAATATTTAATATTTTATCAGTGGTTAAAAAGAAACTTTAAAGAAAAAAGACTCATACAAACTGAAGTTTGTAACACTGGAAAATTAATGTGAGACAGAATTGGTATCCAGTATAACCATGAATGAAGGGACTAAAAGTCAGAAAGAAGAGAATTGCATATTGAATACTAGATACAGAATCATATATATATATATATATATGCATATATGCATATATACATATATGTGAATGGCAGGTTAGGTGAAGAGTGCCTATGTTGGAGGAGGATATGAACCAGCAGGAGTAGGGGAGACTAATAAGAATGTGTACTGAGGTGAATATGAATAAAGCACAATGATACACATGTAAGAAAATGTCATAATAAAACCCATTTATTTTTAATGATAACAACATCAAAATAAAAATAAAGCAATGGACAAAGCCTAATAAGATAGGGAAATGAGTTGCCCTATGGTTCAGTTATTATTTATGCTTATATGCGTTAGAATATTTTGAAAATGTTTGATACCATCATCATGATACAAATGTATATAGTGTTGTTATTAACAGATATTTAAAGAAACATTTATGATCATTTCTGTATTGTTCTACTTGAGATTTCCAGGACTGAGAAAGGATAGTAGAAGCAATTAAGGTCTTTCCATAATAGCAAGTGTTAAAGGAACTGAGATAATTGGAAGTTGTTTTCAAATGTTTGAAAATCTGTGAGGTAAATAAGAAGCTAGACTTTTGGGCTTGGTATCAGCTAAAAGTCAGGCTAATGAACAGAAGCTATAGGGAGTGAGATTTTTGGCTCCCATGTAAGAACTTTCTATTAGAGATCAGATGAGATATAATTGACCGGAGAAGGGGTGGGGAAGTTGTTGTTAGAGCCATTCTGGCATGGGAAACTTGTTTGGCAGGCCTATGTTAAACAGATTTGAAATTGGATATCTAGGTAGACCATATGTTGTTGTTTAAAGCTTTCTCGACTTGTGAGATT